GTAATGAAGGTGTTACGTAGTGATATCGTAGGAAAAAGCACTTAAAATTGTCTTCTTCATTGCAATTATCCGCAACATTCACTTCTTCATCTTAGTATTAGAGTACGTAAAATTATTATAATACGTAACGAATTAATTTGTCTTAAATTTATCTTATCGTGAATATATTTATGTTCGGTTGACCCTGTGTGGTTATCGCTAATGTTTTAATACTTCCTCTGGAAACTTACATAATATAAAAGAGTAATTTAATGCGTTATGTTCATAGCTAATACAATTGTAATATTATACATCATTTATTAAGGTTTTTTGCTTTGAATTGAAATAACTATCATTAATGTCATTGTTTTCAAGCCAAGCACATTGCAGAAAATGCTCTACCTCAACAGGATTTCGGTCCGGAAATCAAACAGGCTGACACAAATGTAAAAGTAGTAAGAAAGTCTGTGGAAATCCTCAAATGAACAAAACAAAAACGTCTAAAACCTAATAATAATAACTTTAAAAAGGTTCAAGTTGCAAATTCGCGTAATTTCGTTAGGTATTGGTTATGTTAAAGAGTTTTCAATTTCAGTTGATTTTATCGGACCGAACAAAATAATTATGAAATTACAACAAAAATACATTTACTTATTAAAATCACCACAAATCTACAGTTGTCACGGTATGACACTTGGTGGCAATCAGAAGCGAATTTAATGTCTTGCGCTTTTTACTTCCCGGTCGTGTAAGGCAAATTTTTTTATAATTCCGTAATTATTTTACTCTGTACGATAAAATGAACTGAAACTGATCTATAAAAAAATAGTCTCTGCCAAATTTCTCTCGAAAATTTGTGTTGGAAAACTTATTAACACGATTTCGTAAGTGAATTTCTATGAGCAGCGTTAAAAGCAAGGTACGAGTATATGCACATAACTACATTGAAATACTTGCGATAGTAGTTTGTGATAGTTTAAAAAAAAAAAAAATGTTGCGTCGACCCAGGAACGCACGGTTGGAGTTTTAATTCTGCGTTGTCAATTTATATAAATTAAACACGTATATGCGGCGAAGTCATTAATTTTCTCTTAAAATATGTTGCATTTTTTTGTCAAAATGATGATTAATGATGATGATTGGGTTAATTAAATTAATTAAATTAAACTAAAGTAACAAGTAATTATTTACAAATGCTAGAGCAGTATTTATAACTTTATTCGGTTTAAAATACAAATTACTGTTCAATCATAGCGTTATCGCCTTCGGTATCTTTATCCCTATCATTTAATACAGTTATTAGTGGCCTGTGGTGACTAAAATGACTGATATTTATATCAGTTCTTAAACGAGTAATAAAGCGTGTCAAAACAGCATCAATCATTGTACCTAATTTAGTCGTCGGAACAGTCAAACGAACACATTTTATGAAATAGTTGCAACATGGAGCGTAGCGCCCTCTCGATCACGCCCATGCTACTCTCTGGCTTTCCTCGACACCGACACCGTTCCTACTGCGGCGCGCGTCGTATACGTGTTCTATAATATGAAAACAAAGGAGCTAAAACTCCAAAAATCGAATATAATTGTTGTACACATAGAAAATAGGCGAAACCCACGCGAAGGTCTAGCATTTTTTTTGTTCCAAATGTATGTTTTATCTTGGAATTTGCCAGCTTAATGTAGTCTTCAAGTTTAATCAGAAACAATGAAATAATGGTAAAGTTCAGCGGTGCCACTCCATCTGAAAGCGTCGAGATTAAGATTAATTTTGTGCTACCATACGTAGAACAAAAAGAAATAAATCAGATCCAGTAATCGTCAGAAGAGACATCTTTTAAGGACATTCTCGAGTTAATTGTAGTTTATTTGGAAATTATTCATGTCTTCGACACCCTCCTCAGCAGTTGAAACTGTTTAACTCCAGCATAAGAATTAACAATTAAGCATGAAAAATCAGTTCGCCAACTTACGAAATCTGGGGTGCGATTTTGTTTCTCGATCGAAGTGATAAATTAAATGTCTTACGTAGCTTTTAAATGCAAAAGTTTGCATTTATTCTTTGCATATAAGCTAATTAAATTCTCAGAAGTTTACAATTACCTTAATTTTAAAAACTTATAATTCAGAATTACGATTTTGAACTTCTATTTTGACATAAATTTCGAGGTTATGTCTCCAAAATTTATCACTTTACTCAGAGCTATCGAGAAAAGATCACTCCATGAAGACTTGATTTCGTGACAGAGTCGAGAAATGTGACAGAAGTGTAACATCTCAACCAATCAGCAAAGCAGATTTTATCGCTAACAGGTTTTTTTCGATCGAGAAACAAAATCGCACCCCACAAGACAGAAATGTGCTTTGGTATGGGGTGCGATTTTGTTTCTATAACGATAAAATATCGGTACCGAAAAAATGTTGTCGTCTTTTTTTTCGCATCTGAAATTTATATTTTCGTCCTTGTCATTTATCGCTTCGTATCGTATCGGTAGAAACAAATTCCCACCCCTGAATGATTTCTTCCATCTCTCATAATCTGGTAACTCTTTTTAGTGATTTATAGAGTCTTATTGCATACTTAGACGGGTTGTCTTAGGGTAAAACTAAAAAGGTTCAGCTAAACTGAATTTAAAGCTTGTAATTTCTTTAATTAACATACAGAGTATCTTTGAAAAATCCGAAAAAAAAGTTTAACAGTTAGTTTTTAGGAATTAAAAATAGAATTAAAACGTGTTGGCAGTAAATAGTTGTGCGTGCGCGAGTAAATCATTTTAAGGTAATGGACTTAAGTACTATTCACTTGTCATGGAAGACCAGTGATTTACTGCAGTAACGAGCTGTTAACTACTTCTACGTGATCTTGATCGACAAGTTATTTCGGACAGGCGGTATACATGATTGTGCGTTTCACTGTTGCCTTGATACGTTCAGGTCCAACTCTTCAACTAAATTTGATTTTGGAAAAACGGAATCTATATGTTCATTCCCATCAAAGCTTTTTTTTTTTGTTTTTTCGGAAGTGGTTCTATTCAGTTTCCTGAAATTATATCAACACAGTATTGGTATTGAAAAAAAAACTCCCAGAACGTTTTAATTGATTGTGCGGAAGACTAATCTAAACTTTAGACCAATTTCTAAAGTATAAGTAAACATTCATATTTTGCAATTGCTAATATCGACTTTGTTAAAACAAACAGTTTTAATTCGACCGATATCAATTCCGGACGTCTCACGTGGCAAGAATTTGTTGGTGGTAAATATTCATTTTTAAGAAGTTTGTACAACTTTTATCAAATCACCACATTTCATCCTCTCAGTACTACATCCATAATATATAATTATGTATTTTATATAATTTTATCATTGTTTTCAATAGTTGATTTTGTTAGGAGAAGTAATTTCCTGTACAGCTGCTGTGTATAGGATAGATGAAAAACCTGTTCATTTTAATAACTTTGAATGTAAATGTGCAACCTTTTTAATAACCATCTTTTAAATATGCAGGTGTGATTGATTGATTGTTTTCTTATACTTTGAAAAATGACATCCTCCAAAAAACAAGCCTCCGGAATATCCGGGATTTGGAGATGCAAAAATGTAAAATCTCCGTTCCATAAGAGAATGTCCATCCTGGAAACTGGTTGCCCATCATTTTTCCTGTACTTCAAGGAATTGAGTAAATATCTAATATTTATAGTATAATCACTTAATCAGCCGTTGATAAAATTATGTTCTCGTTCTACACACAAGTTGACAAAGTTCCAATATTGTTTATTAAACAGCCATAAAACCTCCTAGTTAGTTTCCCGCTTAATACAAATAACCCTCACAATTCGTAAATGTATAAGTTATAAAACGTTAGTGACTGAACTATCAATAAATTTCGTTGATGTTTCACATTTTATTTACCATAATGTGTTTGTATATTTTATAACGTTTACTAATCTTTTTTCATGCATTTTTGCACAAACTTTGTGATTGTAATTGTACTAAATAAGTTTGCGTGTTGCCTCCCAGGAAAAAATTTCAAATTAGGTAGACTTTGAAAATATTGCACTTTTCTTTGATTAAACCAGTAAGCTTCAAAATTTGAATGTGAACAAATCCAAGAACATTCTCTATTATTTTTGCGTGAATTACGAAACTACATCTCCAAAGTGTTTAATAAATATAACAAACTTATTCAAAATTAGATTTGACAACTTTGAATTGTGATGTGGAAGGTTTAATCAAAGAAATGAAAAACATTTCTAGAACCTACCCTAATCTGAAAACTTTTTGATCATCTGTACCAATAAGCGTTAATTCACCAAAAGTGTTTTCTTATTGTGCTTACTTAACTACTTTAATAAATTCTTTCTTCTGTCCCTCGCTCTCGTCCTATTTCCTTTGTGTATATGTAGAGGTATTCTTTAATAAATTTTTATTGTTTGAATTTTGGCCTGTTTGTTACCTTATAAAAACGTGTTCGTTAGTGTGACGACAGCTGTGGCTAAACTTGTGCTTACGACATAGTGGCCCGTTTGGGTTTCACGAGCCAAACTATCGGCAACGTTTTACTTTAAAAAATCCGAATTCCCCTAGAAGAAATAAATTTTAAATATTAAAACAGGACCATCATTTGAAAAATTTAAATTACACTCGGCTACTTCACGCAAGCAATTTCATTATTCTATTCTATGGGAGTAATCGTGGATATGTATTCTATTCACAAAAGTGGAAGTACTTGAGACCTTGATTTTTTTAAAAATTGTTTAAAGTAGTAGTAACACGATTTTAATGTGGTCAAAACAAAAGTTGGTTGTAAAAACATTCTATGTACGACAAGAATGTATTCCTAGATAAAATTAAACATAGAGACGAACATTTTTATGTATGTACCAGTGTTTGTTGTTGTTTCTTTCTTTTCCGGCAGGGAATCATTGGTCCGTTTTAATTGAATATTCCAAGTTTGACTCGGGTCGTGTGTTAAAATAACGTTTGGCCTAACCCTCCTTAATGTAATTTTTGTTCTGCAGGTCGTGATGCTGAAATTCTCCTAGACTTCTGCCAAAGACTAAAGGATAAGTTCCAGTTGTCATGGAAAATGATTTCGTTAGTGGACGTTATTCTCAAATATGCCAAAGATCAAGACGAGGCTTGGAGGCAGATTGATGAAGGTAAAACATCCAGCAAGAGCAAAATAAATCACGAACTTCATTAGCAATAAAGTTGTGGGTACTTGTACCTGCATGATTTATTTTATGTTTACTTTGTGCTTTATCTTGAAGCTTTTCAGAATGTGAGAGCTTTGGTTCGTTTATCCCACCTACACATACTTTTGTCGGTGAAAGAAAACAGTAAGCTGAGCTGGTGTGTATTTGTGAACACTAAACAAAAGAAACTGTTCTCGGCAATAGTTTACAAATAAGCCAATATATGCGAACAGTGTGAATGAATTTTTATTAAATGTGCCAGTGAGAGCCTGTTATGTTTTGAAACAACTGCATAGCATCGTTAAAGTGTAATTTATGACCACCGTAAATGCAGAGGTTATAATATTTTTAGTATGTGCATATGCGTGCTTTTGCTATATTGATGTATTATACAACGTACAACGGCGACGCGATTTTTAATGGCACAGCCTTCAGCTGCCAGAAAATGCAAAAATGCAAAGATGCAAATATATTTGCAGGTTTTAGGAAAATGTTTCTTTCACATTTTATATTTACTGCTGTTTCACTTGAAAGTACTTTTTGTAACTGAAACTGAAACATTTCAGATAACATACCGCGAAATAAACCGGCGACATAGTTGTTTTAAAACTGCCACCTGGGTCTGTTCATTCCACATAACGACTTAAACTTCCGTTGAAGTCAGTAAAAACGCATTATATTTAGCAAGTATGAACCATTGTAAAATAGAAATAGGATCGTAAATTGTAACTATTGTCTCACTCAGAGAGTTCTAAATTTACTCGCACATTTTGCGAATTTATATGTTTTATGGTCCATTTAAAATCGCACATTATTAACAGCAATAACATTTTCGTTTCTTAGATTTGTGTTCAACTTTTGAAGCATTATTTGTTTATGTTTTAAAAAAATACCACCTGTTGCATTTTGTTGTCAACATCCGAGTAGTTGGCCCCACAAAGTCGAATAATTGTCAGAGATCGAATTGCTCCACCAGGCACGAATGTTTGTGTTTAAAACAAATGGTGAAGAAATCGACTGCAGTAAATAGAGGGTAAATGCCTCGAAAAGTCCAGGAAGTTACGGGTTGATATTTGGGATGACCGACAGTGATTTGCGACTTTATAACCCTTATTGGTGTTGCTTATTGTGTGTTCTAATCGGAAAGATGTGTTTTTTTAATTTTTTGTACGGGGTATATACTCATTTATCACTTTCACGTACCTACTGTAATTGCATGATAACTATATTATTAGATGCGCAGCAGCTGTTGGCGAAAAGTTGGTTAAAGAAATTGTTGGCGAACTGCCTCTGTACATCTCGAATTTTTCATTCGACACACATAGAAACACTGTTTAAATCTAGCACTATTTTTGTTTTTTTTACGCGTGTGAGGTAAGTGTTGCTTTGCTAAATTTATGGAACATGCAAATTATGTAGCTTATTCTAAAATGTGACTCTTTAGATTAGGAAGAATTAATCCAGAGCTGGACTAGCGTCAAGAATCTGCCCGCCTTGTACAGGGTCCATTCTGGTAGAAATTTAAAAACGTTATTTCTTAATTAGTCAATGATATGTAGTGTTTCATAAGGCTACATTTTAAAATGTGTATTTTAAACTTATTCAGCTTTATTCCTACAATTGGCTGAAATTTTAAAATTAAAATTATTTTGTCCCCATAAGTAAAAAATATGAAGGTTAATGACTTACGAGCATGTAATCCATAGGCACAGGTTACATTCAACGAAATAATTTTTAAGTTTTTATATCCCATAAAGAAATTTTTTCAAAAAATTACAAATAATTCAAAATGGTTTTGTTTCTGACAAAGCATAAGTGTCAATGTATATGCTTAAAAAAAAGGTGCGAAGAAACTTTCAGATCATGCCCTGTATTTGCGGCTACACTGCACAAAGAACACGGTGAAATAGAATTAATCGTTTCTGCTGACGACATGCCGACGTGTACTCGATAATACAAAACGTGAGATGAGTGTGAAGGAAGAGTGCATACAAAATTAGAGTGAAAATCCTTCTATTCACGTATGCATTATCAGGACCTAACGTACGAAGCGTGAAATATAACGTCGACTAAATTATCAATTATCATATCATCATGTCTGTTTTCATGCCTGTCCGCATGACACTTTCGAGATTTTTAGGGTGTTAGTGATCGAGAGTGATACGCTTTTCCACTGTGGTCACAATTTGTGAAAACAAATAAGCATAATGTACATGTCGACAAAGCTTTATTACTCACTGCCACTGAACACACGAGAACTAAGCGAGATTTTTGATGTGATTCATCGTATTGTTGTGGTATGGGAAGTAGTTTCTCTCTTGTCGTTTGAAACTGTGAGTTGTATATATAGAATCCACAAACTGTATGTGACTACGTGGAAATATTATTTATAATTACAGTTAGTAACTTATCGCATTTGTTTGTGTTACGAAATACACAGAACAACATTATGTATAAACTCAAAAATGCACGTTAAAAAGTTCAGCTTCAATTGAATTAAAAATTTTATGCTGTGTTGAAAAATTGGCAACGTGAATTATATCATCGGTTTACAGTAGTTAAAAATGTTAATGTAAAGTTATATATTTATATAGAACTTCCCTCGCTCCGGAAGCATCAGTTGTACATCTGTGTGGACCGCAGTGTTCAGTAGAGATTTATTTACACATGACTTATTTTTTGCACGAATTAAAAAAAATCAATGGATTGTTTCTGAAATAAGAACAAGTTTTAGATGCCCAGAGATTGAATCTCGAACGTTGGCCTTTCATGGCCAAAGCGAAAGCGCTGATTCAAAGTCTACAGAGAACACGTTGTAAAGCGTTGATAATGTAATTAAGCGCAACTGGTAGAACAATGTTAAAACAAGTAAAATAAAAAGACAAATTGTAAAATTTGATTCTGTAATACTTTTATAAAGGGGAAAGTTACAATACTAAGCAAAATCTTGGGATGACGTCATCAAATTTTTAATTGGAATGAATAGAAACATTTTGGTCAGCCATCTCCACGATCATCTTCAAGTACAACTATTATTTTACAGAAATCGGTCGTGTAGTTTCAGAGATTTTTGCGTAATGTCCGTAACAAATAATGAGAGATGATTTCAGGATCCCTAAAATTTGAAAAAATAGATCTTCCGTTTATGTATCATCTCCCGTCTGCGTTTATACAGATAATCTCCAAAACCACTGGACCGATTATTGTCCAATTTTACAGTCAAACTTTTTTATCTCGAACCTGGATTAGTCCAATATTTCTATTTCTTGAACCGGTCAATATATATCCTATATTTTGCTCAATTAGTCGAAATTTTCTATATATCGAAGAATTTTTTGTCACGGACAACAAATTTAGTCTCTATGACTCGGAACTTTTCTCAATATCGTCACATTCTGTAAATTGAAGTTGAGAAAAGTGTGAAGAAGAAAAAATACATTCCCTGAGAATTCAGCATACCAGCGAATACTCTATCGACAATTTTGAAACGTAGTGGATCTATTAAAAGGGCCTGAGAAGGAAATATTTTACAATTTGAGACTCGGGAAAATAGTGATGATGAAGTAAAGCGGTGTTACTGATGATGATTCGATACCTATTCCTGATATTGAAGCAGTACATGAAACTGTTGATAAAATTTCTGTTTTCTATACCTATACACCTTTTCTATACATGTATTTAAAACTTTGCATTTAATGTAATTACATATTAATTCATATATAATTATAATTAATTAATAAAAATTCATTAACTCGAATTTGTGATTACTCGAATGTTTTTTCCTCTCCTTTGGTGCTTCGACTTACAGAGGTTCGACTGTATATATTTTAGGAATATCGTATAGACGATAAAACGGCAAGCAGAGTTTCTTTAATCATCCCCACCAATGATATGAGGACGTCACCGAAAAATTTTGCGTAGTAAATGTTATTTAAATTTCATAAAATAACAGGTATTTATATTTGTGGTTTATGAACCCACCTTGATTATTTACCCTAGGCATCCACATATTTTTAATTTTACATTAATTAGCATCCTACTCTTTCTTTGTGCATTCTGAACGCCATACAAACAACGAAGATGACCTCATCCCAAAATTTTCTTATGGAAAATTCAGTTGAAACACGCATAACATGATTCTTCAACTGTACACATATTTTATTTTAACTAACAGGTGCTGCCTTAAAAACAATAAAATTCACAGAATGAAATTTTATAGTTTTTCGAAACAGTTGGATTTGTTGGGCTGTACTACAAGAACAAGGGAAGTTCTGTGTAACACTCTAAACCATTTTTTTATTAAACCAAGAAAATACGTCAATTCTTTGTGCATAGAGCATCATTTCATAATTGTTCGAACTAGTTCCAGTTAACTAACTCAAAGAAAAGATTACAGAAATAAGCTGGATTTAATGTTAAAATGTCGAATGTGAGCACTGTTTACTTGATACAAACATATGGATTAGATTCTCTTTTTTGTTCATTTTTGACTTTATTCCTGTTCTCTCTAACGGTTATAAACCATTTAGCGACTTATACGCATCAGAGAAAATTAGAGGGTCGGTGTTTCCTGATTTTAGTCATACTATACAATATCTGCTCCATTATGGTTATCTTAAAAAATGGAAGTGAGAGAGGAAGAGACCGAGAAGGGTCTCACTAATTTGCCGCGTTTACTTCTAGAAAGTGAGAGATTTTACATTTTCACGAATAAAATTTGCCAGACCGTTGTTAAAGTGGTCGTATGCCTGTAACAGGTTCGAGTTACGGGTTAACTGAAAGCCAAACTGGAGGACTTTCATTAAGCGCCATAGCATAGGATGGCCGTGTACATCCAAATGTGTTCCAGGTATTTGACATTGACCGAAATATAAAATGATGCGTGAAATAGTTTTGCACTGGCAATCCGCCAGTTTTTCTTCTGTTTGTGTTTTTTCTGTCTTGACGTGGCCTTCTATTGAGGGAAAACGCCTTTAACTGTTTTGATCTCATCCTTCTACTTAACATAATGAGTAGAGAGCGGATTTCTAGGTTTAATGCTTTTTGTGAAAAATGTAAGCACTTCAAAACTTTTTTATATCTGTAACTATGATACAATTTGGAGTGATTTGACACATTTTTTTTATGCTTATTTGCTTTTTTTTCAATTTTATGCATATTAAAACTTATATGCTTGTTTAATGCTTTTTTCGACGAATATGAGTTTTAATGCATACTTTGTTCCAATGCCGGCCTTGTCGGGATGACAAATACTTGTTAGTTAGCCGTATCGTACGTATGCATTTTACCTGGACTTGACCATTGAAGTACACTTACTCAAGACCCTTTCTGTGAATAGGTTCCGGTCGTTTGGGTAATAAAATTTTATTATAGGATTGGAAAAATACTCCATAGATTTTATGACTTTAAATCCTTACTTCCGTTAATAATGAATTAAACCTTTTAACCAGATGTTCTTTTTCGGCATTTTGCGGCAAGACCGTTGAAGATTTTCTAGAAAAAAGGCTTATTGTACCCAACTACATACCTTAAAATTTTTCTAATGGAAACTTTTAAGTAAATGAACCGTTTATTTCACAACCATCAGTCTATCGCATCTGTCGTAGTACAGTGTTATACGTGGTTCTCCCTTGTTACATGTTGAGTTCTATTTGGTAATATTACTAGTATTTTAAAAGAATGCCGAAAGTAAAATCGACGCCGGATGAGTGGATAAGGGATTTTCCAGAATTAAAATTAGAAAACAACAAAATATTCTGCAGAGCTTGTGTGAAAACCGTAAGCCAACTAATTTTTTTTATCTATTTTCCTTTGTTAATCCTGTATATGTAGGTGCGTTGTTTTAGATTCAAAGTGATAAAAAATATAATGTGACGCAACATGTCAGAACGACTCTTCATGTAGAAAGGAAGAAAATGTTTGAAGTTTCAAAAATTAAACACCAGACCATACATGAATCTGTTGCATCTACTTCCACAAAAGATGAGCAGTTTCAGTTTAATTTCGATTTATGTAAATGATGATCCAGTCCAATATACCTTTAAAAAAATTGGAGAAAGGCCCTCTTTAAGAATTCCTTGAAAAACACTGCAATCTACATATTCCGGTTGAAAGTACGCTCCGAAAAAATTATGTAGGCCCAGTGTTTCAGCAAGTTTACAACGAAATTAAACATCGCATTGGAGATAATTATTTATGGTTCGCTGTCGATGAAACAACCGATAGTTGTGGAAGATACGTGGCAAATTTAATTGTTGGAATCTTAAATGAAAATTTCCCTAGTTGAGGGTATGTAGTAAGTTTGAAAATGTTAGATAAAACAAATGGCAATACGATTACCAGATTTGTAAATGACAGTCTTACGTCACTATTTTTGCCAAATGCCGTACCGGCGAATAAAATTTTATTGATGATCTCGGATGCAGCTCGTTATATGTTGAAAGCAGGGAATAATCTAAAAATATTGTACCCCAATTTAATTCACTCTAACGGTTTAAACAGAGTGGCTGAAGGAATACGTTTGCAGTTTCCTACTGTTAATAAATTAGTGGCAAATGGTAAAAAGATTTTTGCTAAAGCCCCACTAAGAGTGCAACATTTTAAGGAAAAATTTCCAAACATACCATTGCCCCCAGAGCCGATTATAACGAGCTGAGGAACATGGTTACAGGCCACATTTTATTATGACAAATATATCAAAGAATTTGGGGAAGTAGTTACGGAGTTTAGCGAAGATTCTTCTCAATCGATTAAAGATTGCATAAATATTGTAGAAAACAAAGATTTGCGACAAGATCTAGCTTTTCTAAGAAGCAATTATCAATTCGTATGTGAGGTAATAGAAAAGTTAGAAAAACCCAACATGTTGTTGGTAGATGCCATAAACTTAGTGAAAGAATTTAAACAACAAGCAAACGCATTAAGGGGTGATATTGGTACTAGAGTATCTCAAAAACTTGACGAAGTGTTAAATAAAAATGCAGGTTTCGGTGTTCTTTCCGACGTTGCTCGTGTTTTACAGGGCCAGAAGGTGGAAAATTTGGAATTAGATTCAACATTAGTTGCAAAATTCAAATTTGCGCCAACGAGTGTGGATGTTGAACGCACATTCTCCAATTTTAAACACATTTTAAATGATCGGCGAAAAAATTTTACAGTGGACAACTTGGAACATATTACAATCATAAATTGTTTTAGAGAAAACTGAAATACGTGGGTAAAATATAAAGTCTAGGATTATTGTAATAATTTTGTATCCAAAGTTCTAAGAAATGTTCTTTGATTTGTAATATGATTATGTTTTTAATGCTTTTTTGCTTAAAATAAAACTTTTTTAATGAAAGTGTTATGCTTATTTAATGCTTTTTTGCTTAAAATAAAACTTTTTTATTGAAAATGTTGTGCTTATTTAAGCGCTTATTCAAGCGCTTATTCTTAATTTTTTTGTGCTTATAAATCCGCTCTCTAATAATGAGACTGCGGCTTTACCCATTAGTAGAACAACGCTGTTATCTGTTATATTGTCTAGACAGGTAATAGACAGCCAGTGGTGACCCAAGAAGATAAGAGAATGCGCTTGTCTGTGGATATCGCAATGATAAGGCTAACCTAAGGTGACTTCTGCTTAAAGCTGCTCGACAACCAAATCTATGTCTTTGGAGGTTAAAAGCTCTTTGAGTATCCAGGAACTTGGTTTTTTGCTTACTCTTTGCAAACAGTTTTGTGTATTAAATTTATCCACTACCAATACTGATATAAGCGTTCATAGAAACATGACCTTTATTATTTTTAAGTATATGTACATGTACAAATTTCCACATATCTAAAGCATATTCAATAAAAACGGAATATAGCAGAACTTGATAAAAAATGTGGTTTATTTACAAAACCTACGTCGTAAGGAGTTAGAAAGTTAAGGTTCTTTAACTTTTTTTAAAGGACAAGTTTATTAACTTACGAAACTCTGCATCGATTCGGGGAACTGCTTATTTATAGACAGTTAATTAAAAAGTCAGTGCATTGTAATTTATAAGGTTTGAATAAAAAAGGGGAAATAATAATAATAATGTCTGTTTTGTATTTAAACATTATCCAGCTCTTTATAGTAAAGTATAGTCCATAAGGCAACCAACTACATAAATGCTAAATACAACTCTGATATTTTGACGACAATTCTTAGACAAAAAAACCCATAATAAATAATTCTAGTTTCGCAATTTGTGGATCATCTGACATAACTACTTTTCCCAGGAGCGTTTCTTGTTTGCTCCGATATTTACTGCCAACATTCTTTAGACACTTCGTGAAAAATAAAGCCTTGGCCAGAGGGCAAACCAGTGCCCGTTAGAGTATATAAGGCTTCCAAATCGTGAGATTCCATTCGCTGCTCCGTCATAAGACTACACTATACCGTATGATTATATTATTATAGTTATAATAAATGTAACCAGAATTGCAGTAAAGCGATTGAAACACATTAAAAGTGAAAAGTATGCAAGAACATATTAGAATTGCAAGAGATTTTAATTACCACACTAACTTCCACTGACGCGATGTGTGCAAGGATGTCGAAGAGGCTAATTTCTCGGTTATGGCTGCATCCTTTTGAAACTTGCGTAATCACGGTGTTATCTGGAAGCATTGTCTGCAAAAGCTCTACAGACTCTTATACCCTGTTAGTGTCCAACAGTCCTTTGAGAGAACGTTGGCAATATGTACGTATGTTATGATGGTTGGATGAAAATATTTGAAAAAATTCATTATATATGTTTTCGAATGTTCATGATTATAATTTATTATCAATAAAGAGAAAAATATAAATATTCTTCTGTGGCTCTCTTATTGGACTATTTTTTTACACCATGCTATAGTACCTATTAAAAGCGAGTAACTACTACTAGGTATCCTAATGTCATTATCAGAATGGTCAGTTAATTATTCTATTAATACACATAAAAATGTAGTAACATTTCCAAATGAAAACTGTGTTGATACTTGACTAATTTACATTCCAGATGCAGGAAGAGATTTGTGGCAGTTGGGAATGTAAACATTGGCAAATCATCAGAAAACCATGCAAAATATTCTAGAATTAATAATGGAACCTAATTTCGTTAATTTGGCTGAGTACATTTAGAATTTTTGGTTATTCCGAAATGGCATTTCAAAAAAGAATTGTGGTAATCGTAATAATGATCCGTCCTCGATTATTTTCTAATATAATTGTCCCTGAAACTGATTTTTTGTAAAGAAACACAAACTGTTTGAAACCTCGACTTGACAATTAAGTATTTGTAGTATAAAATTTGCACTACATCTACCTGGTGTATTACTGCTTGTTTATTTTCGGTTCATTTAACCTTATTCGCGGGTAGATAATTGTTGTTTCGATGAGGCGACACAAGGCAGAACGCCTTTAAATGCGTGTAATGCATCATATTCTTGTTTTCTAGTTAAGTTATTTTACTACTACTTTCCATGAACCTATTTAACATCTTGTACGAATTAATAGGAAGTAACTATGATATCCTAAACTTCAAGGAGTTGTAATAAGATCAACACGATTTACGATTAATTCGTTAACGGAATCGGAAGCGTAAACGGAGACGAAAAAAGTTGGAACAGTATGTATACATAGCACTAACGTATCCGCAGTTGCAATGAAAACGATCGTAAGCACAACGTAGTTAATCAACGTTCATCTCCCGTCACTACAGTCGACCAATTAAGAGAGAAATGTTGCGTGTACGAAAATTGTACCATTTAACTTTTTTAGTCTCCGTTTATGGTCTTGGAAGTTGAACAATTATTATAACGAAAGAACATTGTAAAAAAACTGAACAATTTTTCAACCTGGAACCAAAGGTCTTGCTAGACTTCTCGATAAAACACAAAGGTTTATCTTCCTAGTTGTATTTTCTTGAATTTTATATACTTATTGCAGCATTCCTAGAAATTCGCGCCTTGGCCGCTGTCGAAGCAGCAAGGTACACTTACCATCACATCCCCTACACTGGACTGTACTCAAATGCAGCAGCAGCGATATATCCGCCCGTTTATTTACCATCCATGTCGATGTATCATCCTGCCACCTTACTAGGATCTGTTCCGCCCAACACATCGCCGTCACATTCGCCGCCCATCGCACCAACGGCGATCAGACCCAGTAGTCGAGCGTGATAAGGTAATTTTGTACTGTATAATTCTTTTTGACACTGCAGCAGTTCTTCTGATGATACATTACTGGTATCATTTTTAAATACTTAATATTAATTATGAGATGAGAATTTCTTCCCTTTCGAACTTTTTTCGTTTTGAAACTAGATGAAACCATCGTGAAGCTAAATCCAGCGAACAGTAGAGTGGTCAGTCAATTCAAAACGAAGCATTGTCCTGCAAGGAAAACTCACTTGAGATTTTTCTACGGGGTGTCTGCGCAATTTTCTTTGGAAAACTGATTACTAATTTCCCCGTCATAATTTTAGCCCATTTTAAGTAGACTGACATAAATGTTTCGTCGTTGTACCAAAAAATTGATGAAAACGACTGAACCGCTTTCGGTTTTGTATATGGGATAGTTCTAAGTCGAAATAATTGTCAATACCTCCTCAAATTTCACTAAACTTCCTTTTTTATTAAGCAATTATAATTGGAGTAGTGTGTATTAATAAATTTTGGCTAATTACTTAAATGATTTAGACAAAACATAATTATAAAAATATTGGCACACTGGCGCTGACCACAGTTGCCAAAAAGTTGAGTATATTATAAAGTTGTTACCTCAAATTTATTAGAACAGTCTGTCAAGATTTAGCGAATTTTACGAATTTCGTACTTCACTCTTCGGACAAACCCTAGAGCTAAAATGTTTCTTACTCGAAGTGAATGTCTGCCTATTAAAAAACGATGCAGCATCGGACGCGTTTCATTGATGTGTGGCCATTTTTACTGCTGTGTATATAATTAGTAATTACCAGGCCTACTAAATATCTTTAAGTTTATCGTTCATGATTAAGGTTTATATTTTGTTAATGACCATTCTAATGCCCACTAAGCGGTTAATTTATGTTTTATTGCATCCAACAGCGTCTGCGAATGCCCAATAAACTGCTGTGAAAAACCATTTTAGCTTCTCAATTAATTGCAGTGGAAGTTGAGGAAAGGGTGAAATTAGGTAGGTTTTTCTTTTTACTCCTTTTGCCAATTAATAAAATTTGATGGACCATCTTCTTAATAATACATTTTAACTAACTATATTCGTATTTGGTTTAATTAGTTTGAGGCGGATGCAGAAATAATAAATTTTAACTGACCGAAAGGGAATAAGTTGGTATAGCTATTCTACGTACCGCAACATTAACCAGACTCGTAAAACGCACTTTATATCCGTTTTATGGCATTTGTAAAATATTGCATTTCAAGTATAATATATGCACTCGGCTGCAGTCGTACAGACAGACACTCCAATCAGATGCCATCTTGCACACACATTATTTTGCAGTAATAATTTTTAAAGAAACGTCAACGTAATTTGTAACACCCTCCAAAAGGCTCCTGTTGTGGTTGTAGGATTGTAGTCTGTTTTGTGAGCTGTTAATTTAGACACAATTTACACCTCTTGTCAGATCTTGAAATATTGTGGGTAATCTATTTTTTTTATTTTAGCAAGTTATTTTTTTATTTCAATATTTTTTTTTAATTTTTATTTTTTGTACATTATCAGCTAAATATACGTGTATACGTAACGATTTAGAAGCATTCCTCAGTATACAGAATTTCCAGGTAAGTAATCGAAGAAAAAGCAAAAAGAAAACTTTGCTTCATTTCAGTGCATGATGTGTGGATGTCACATTGCCTCAGGAATTGCTAGTTTGCCAAAAACAGATAATAAGTAAGTGTATGATGAGCCACTGTAATTCTCAGATTAATAACAGCTTTTTGCCTACTTTGTTGTGCCGGCTACAGCATAAAACATCTTGCGATCCAACTAATTTTTACTAACAAACAATAAAACACAAACATGTGTTGCTATAAACGTAGTAAGAAACTTTGTTTCCGAAGTGAAATAATGTATCGCGTGAGAGTAACAGTTAAAATATGTAATTACTGTTTGTACAATCTCCAGATACACTGATGTAGTACAATGATCTGTCAATATAATAAATATTCTTGATTTTTACCACTCCGTTGTTTCCTATGTTTTGTGGATATATAAATATTTCGTAGTTGTTTCTATGAAAAAACCATTTTGCGAATAAATTTAATATAAAAAGATCGCTTGCAAAGTCTTCTTGCAACTTCCGACTTTTTATCGAGTGGGAAATAAATATACGCAGGAAAGTCAATGCGGTGCATCAAAATTATATCCGAAATTTTTACTAAGCAGTTACTTTTTTGATAAATATGTGCCTTAATGGAAAAGTTTAATATAAATACCGCACTTTGGTGTTAAATTTGCAACCATTCGACACCTGATGGAAAATGCTATTTAGATCAAAGTTAATGATTTCAATAAAACAAAAATATTTTTTAGCAGTATTATTTCTTTTAATTACATTCATTTTAAGGCGTCTGTACTGTTAATGCATCAAAATATATATATATATATATATACATATAATAATTATAATAATGTTAGATTAACAGCATAATTTCGATATAGAGACAGACAAGAAATGAAAATGTAGTAATTCGATTCTAAAAGGTTTTTGCATATGCCTAATATTGTATAAAAAAAAATAATAATAAAAGACATTTACGATCGAATTGATTTCGGCAAAGTCTCATCCAAATAACTTTTGCCACAACCATATAACGCATTCAGTTTTTATGTGCCATAAAAGTTATAAAATGCATTTCAATCAGATTCAGAGGAATGATTTATGTTGTTTTGTTGTCATACCAATACATGGGATCAAGTTTTTGTCGAATGTCTACATAGTTATCGAGTGTGTATTAGTTGGAGGCAACACACCGTTAAATGCTTGGGTGCAATTAATACAATACACTGACGATATTTTATCGTTTGATAAAAACCCGTGTTAATAATTGCATAATGTTCATAATAGAAATTAGAGTTAAGTATGGTATTATCAAGTTAGTAGTAGATATCGTTTACCATATGTAGTTTTGAAAGGTTAATATTTTTGTTAATTTTAGTGTTGTGTCTACTGCAGTGTAATTTTATCTTTTCAATCAGTCTAAAGTTCAATTAATCTAAAAAGAGTCATAAATTCTGGGATAGTGTCCAGAGGTAAATTGAAAGTTCGTCTAAGTAAAGCCTTTCGGTCGATATGTAGGATAACTGGATACCCCAGCAATAGTACTGAATGCCGCCGTTGCTGGCGTTGCTGCCATTTTATGGGCTAGTTTATATTTTATGACCCCCTATACAGAGATGTATGGATGTATAAAACTGCAAAATGTTCCCTACATATTAATTTTACTCTTGCAAACGTTTGTTATGAAAATTGTTTCACCTACGTTATACTCTAAAGTGTAATCAAAAATATTTTAAACTAGTCTCGTTTTGTACTTTATACCTGAAAATAAAAATTACACTACGACATGCTCCACTTCAGTTTTCTTTTTAATTAATACGTCTTAATTGCAGCGAAGTGGGACCTCCGCATTTTATGCGATGAGTGACATTTTTGATTCTTTTTCAATTTTTAAAACATTTCACCTCATTCTTGGAAGAATTACGGTCTCGTAAAACTTTCTCGAATGGTAAAAATTCGCAATGCTGGTTAAAGTGTATATCGTACATCCATGCAATGCAATGAGGGACTCGTTCTAAATCCCGTTTTCCTATCGCCATCCTTACTCACTACCCTATATCCTGCGGAAGGTCTTTAAAACTCGCATAAAATGCGGCGTCTGTCGTATCTCTTTCCCATCGCCTAAACCTTCAACTTTATTTTAGAGTGTCTGGCCTGATCTGAAATTAAAGAAATCGATTGTCGTTAACCGCCGCTTTAGCGATGGGGGATTAGCCTGAATTTCAAATAGGGAAAGTGATCAATTTTATATATATTATATATACCAACCTATAGGAAATTCTTAATCTTTTATGACCTCCAGGGGATAATAACCGGCTCATAACCGGCCCGCAATTGCTCGATTTGACCGCTCTCCATCAAGCCGCAGGTCAAAAAAAAAATACAGATGTGTCACATCAGATAAAGATTTTGTTGTACTTAATTGGCGCAAGTACCATTTGTATGTACTGAATTTAAATGGTGCTAGAAGGTTACATACGTATCAATGTGAAATTATGATGACAGAGATAATCTCCGAAATTACTGGACCGATTGTTGTCAAATTTTATGTTTGTTTAGGTTAGCGGTAGGTAAATCACGACAAAAGAGCGACATTCTTTTCAGGACCAATTTTACCAACTGCATTTATCTTACCCAAACATCTACAAAAGCTCGAAGTAAATCATACTTGCGTATTAATAGTTATTATACACACTCATCAAAAAATTTTCAAATTTAGGACATTTAATTGTCAATTATAATATAACAAGTGATATGATTATTATCGATAATATTTCGAGTGAAACCGAGCTGCAGATTCAACGAGTGCGAAGCACGAGTTGAATGTGTTGCTTCGGTTTCACGAGCCATATCTTCGATTATTAATCATATCACGAGTTATATTCAACATGAGAATATAATAAATGAACATTTTTTTTTGATAATAGAATTGATTTCGTCGTTTTGAGCTTGCCCCCAACGTTGGCAAGCCATAATAAACAAAAAAATTCATGAAATTCTAAAATTTGTCAAATTTGACAGTTTTTAAATTTAGGTAGCAACAGACCATAATAAGGCAATAAAATTATTATCGCTGTGATAGACATGTAACTAAGGGCATGGACAAATTCTATTGGAAGAAATGGGGTCATGTGATCCATGAATTATATTCTCAATTAATGATTATTGGAGGTAATTTCGAGACACTTGTTTTTACAAGTTTCTTCAAATAATCACTTTATTTAAACTAATCACTAATCAGTCATAAACAGTAGATAGTAGTCATCAGACTAGTCGGCACTAAAAATGTGTGAATTTGTGGCAGGTGGACACCAATGAATTTAGTAACTTTTGTACCACCAACGTGTCACTGGTGTTAACACGACTGTCACTCGAAGTACAGATGTTTTATTTGATTTTTTATGCATAAATAACAGATGATAAATGATACTAAATTAAAATACCACACTGCTTGCAAGGTTTTAATGTGTTTTATCGGCTTGACGACAGTCAAAGTGCAAATTTATTTTTAGTGTTGTGGGAGTTAACCGTGTAGCATAATGATACCGACAAATTCACCAGCTAATAATATTCTAGCATGGGAAAGTGAGACAAGATGTGGTTTTGGATCAGGACGACGTGCCTGCAATATTTCATAATTCCAGCATACCAGTAACAGCATATACATTTAATTTATCACGTGTCCTTCAACTGCATATCTGTGGCACTAGACCAGGAAGCTACCTACATATAAAAGAAAAATTAGTGTAATGACTTCATCTTCCAAAACATGATTTGATGCGAACTGTTTTTTCTTTTTTTCATATAGATTCATTTGACGGCAAATTTTGATTAAAGTATTTGCAGAAGATTCATAAGCAATTTAGCAAGCTTACGATAACTTGAGAGCGTGTACAAACCGTCAAAGCAATTACTTGTGTAGTTATGAAAACTTGCAAAGTTTTAGGGTAAAATTTTGAATTTTAAAGATACTTACAGATTCATATTATTTTACATCATTTAAATAAGATCTACCTGGCAAACTTTTGAAAGTAAGGTAGGTCATTAAAATCGTGAGTACAGGAATATATCATTTTATAAAATTTAATTAGCAGTTACTATGCAAAATTTTGAGGAGACGTCATGAAATTGTTAATGGGAACGATCAGACAAATTTTGATCAGAGTTTTACCATATACACGAGACTCCTAACATGTATATAAAATTTTACAAGAATCAGTCCAGTAGTTTCGCATATATCTGTCTAATAAAATATCGACACAGACGACAAACAGACAGAACCGGGAGACCTATTTTTGGGGTCATGAAACGTCCATAAAACATCACCGGAAGGATAATGTGCAATGAACAGAACACTAGCTGAAAAAAAATAACAAACAATGGTAGAGTCAGGATTGTTCTGAAGAAGTGAAATATGGACCATGGAAAAAGACAAACGAAAAGTGTCAGCGGTGGAAATGGAAGCACGAGGGTATCACGACTACACCGGATTCAAAACGCAAAAATTCCACACAGGATGAAATAACAGAATTAAGGGTTGAAAGTGGTTTGGGCAGTTTAACATGTGCTAAATTTCAGAGCAGCTAATTTAGTAATTTCTACATTGTATTTTTTTTTTCAACAACTGCACAAGCAGTGTAGAGAATATACGTAGGTATTCATAATCATAACTGTGGACGCACCTGCATATTTTAGAAAAAATATATTTAAAAACATTTAGAGCTGACGTCATCAAGTTTTCGGAAGATATAAGCAAATTTTGATAGCGATTTATAAATTCTCAAATACTCCGAAATAATTTCAAGCGTGATTTTTCCACAAGCCATTACCTTGTATTGCTGACGAAATTATATTGATGAAATCTTATCCGAACATGTTTTTGAAATGTTAAACGTAATATCCTTGCTTCCAAGTATTGTAATGGGTCTATTTGGCGAATGGCTAATTTTATATTTTCTCGACGTTTCATTGTTCTTGAATGTGAATAACTAGGTCTGCGGTTCCGTTCGTCTGCCGTCTATTGCTGATTTTAGTAGACATAATCTACGAAGCTACTAGACTGGGTGTTGAGAAATTTTGAACATTTTCGGATTATCGTGTAGAGAGTAAA